CGCACCGCTGCGGCCATCAATGTAATTGATGTAGGTGTAGAACGTCGTGTTGAGGGTGAGAGCTATATATTGAGACCCAAAGAGCTGAATACCCTCAAGTTGGGGGCATACGCCTTGAAGCAAACTTCGGATGCTGGTACATATGGAAGGCAAGCTCCAGAACACAATGCTGATGAGACATTCGGATACCTCGGATGCTTCTCAGCAGTAGGATCTGCCAATATGCCTTGCCCTACCTGCCCCCAACTTCCTGGAGGCTAGTAGGGAACATATTTGGTACTGCCCCCTCCCAGTAACAGTGCATATTAAGGGTCCTATTAAGGGCTATTATCCAACTGTTAGTGGGGGGGGCCAGTACTGAAGGAATATATTATATAGGGACTATCTAGGCATGTAGGGATTAGATTCGCTTATTCCCTACTAACCACCAGTAAGCCAACTACAATTTAGGGTTTAGGGGTGAAGGGTACTTGCAGCAGACTTGGAGGCATTCCTGTACAACAGACCTAGAAATATTACCTATGTTGGGCTCTAAATTGGAAGAATGTATGACCTAAAGTGGGCTACTTGGAGCCCTACGGGTTCTAGATCCACAAGAACCATAAACATGCCCCAAAGTCTTTAGCCCTGCAAGCTTGGAAGGGAAGCACTAACTCTCTCGCGTGACTGCTTGAGATCTATACCCTAAACCCTAAGCCCGATCTAACATGGCACCCCGAGAGTTGATGGCAAGGTCTGACATGACCTTTTTATCCCTTAGACCTAGGGTTTCTGGTATGACAGTATACTTCAGGTCATGACCATATCAGCCATAGTCTAAACTCCTTAAAGGGGGTTATATGAAGGATTGTATAGGGGACTACTATAGGGCATATTGGGAGGGATACTAGGAGTTTAGACAATGATGGGCCATATGACAACAAGCTGGGGATTCGGCTGCGACGTACATGCGGGAGGAGAGCGGGTCGACTGCAATGGCGGTTGGGCTCTTGACTTCACCTGCTGGGTCAAACGGTTGGTAACCCAGAGGGTCCAGGTACCCAATAATTAGGTACTAGGGTTTTGGGTAATAGTACTTATGGTATAGATTTTGGGGTAAGTATATGATTATTAGGTACTTGGACCCTTGAGGTAACATGGCATGACTCAAGAATGAGTTGCACGCGCAGCTCTGCTTAGTTCAGGAGAGAATGAGGGGAAGAAAGCCGGAAGCCGGGGCCTGAGCAGGAGGGTTTAGGGTTAAGGGTTTAGGGTTTAGGGCCTAAACTGGGTCGCTGTTAAGGAACTTACGCTATGTTACCATAGTGGGCATATATATAGTAAATAATTAGGTTTCCTCAACATAGTAACTGAAATTCAGTTCCTTAACAGCAACCCAGTATAGTTTGAGGAGGCACAAGCTAAGCTCCTGCGTATGTAGTGCCTACCCTCAGTGACTCACTTCAATAAATTGGTTGGTCATGTTTGAGCAAAGTGCCCTTGGGCATCAGAAGGCCTAAGGAACTTGAAAAAGTTACTACAATAAGGAGCCCCCATGTTTTACGATGCACCCCTATTATAGTAGCTTAGCTTGAGTTCCCTAACAGCAACCCAGAGTATGGTAGGCGCATGGAATCACATCCTGGGGACTTCTGGTATCAGCTCGGGTTTCGGGCTTGGGGTTCAAGTTGGTTCAGGGCTTAGGGTTTTAGTGTTTAGGGATTGAGGCTCAGAAGTTGGATTTTGTGTCAGTCCACCCTGCGCAATTGACTATAGAGCATCCCTGAAACCCCATGAAGCAAACCATGTCCCCTGAACCCTATTAGCCCTAAACCCTAAATCCCAAACCCAAGAATCCAAACCCAAACCCTATGATCTCTAAACCCCTGTAAACCCCAAACCCTAAACCGTGTGGCTGTGCGGAGCTACGATAGACTATCCTGGCACTGGGAAGGTCGCGGTCAAAACCTCAGCATGTTGCTTCAGGGGTCCAAGGACCCAACGTTTAGGTCCTTGGGATTTAGGGCAGCAGTAGTTGTAGTACAGGTGTTGAGGAAGTATATGATTATCTGGCACTTGGAACCCTAGAGCCGTCAATATTTTCGCCACCTATGTCAGAACCTCGAAAACCACGCTCAGTTGTCCTCCAGCCTAGAACAAGCGGTCGCCAAACGTTGTCCGGAAGTATGGTGTAGCCCACTTGCTTGAGGGTAGGAAAGGAGGCGATAAGGTATTTCCTGCCGCCAGAGCTGCAGGTTCAGGTTCTGTCTTTTGGTAACGGGCATTTGCTTATCTGCAAGATCACCTCCGGACAACCGTTTTCAGCAACTCATTTGGTGCGGCTTCCAAAGTAAGTATGATTCTAAGGCTCAACGGCTATAAAAAGTACCTGCATCGGGCCGTAAAGTCTGTCAGCATGAGCCACATTGGGCTATTTGGAGCTCCAAGGCAATGGTGCTAGTTATTCCGTGGCGCTGCCTTCAGGCGCTACTACCATGTAGTCTACCATGTTGTCAAAGATGGGTGACCAATCTACCGGAGGCTGGGCCTGGGCTCCCAACAAATTGTGGGCAGTCGAATTCTTTCACCTACATGCCGTTACGGTTGCGGGCGTGTGTGGCAATTAGTTAACAAACTTGGACGTCCTGCAGCATTTTCTTGTTTTGCCACGATACAGCTCCAGCCGCTGTGAGGACATACCAGAATTCTGACCTTCATCCCCCATAGTCCTAGTTGATCTGATGGGTTGTCAACACTAGGGCTTCGCTTTTGATATCCTTTGCAGCCAGGGCTCCGGTCATTTCACACGCCCGACCTAGGCCCCTCAACCCAAGAACAAACCCTTAAGATCAACAAAAACATTGTCAGGACACATAGCATTCACATCCCTCACCTTAAGCCCAAAACCCCACGACCTCCCAACGAGCTCCTGCCCGCTTTCAGCGCATCTGTAGAGACAACATCGTGCGTCGAGCTGCCGTCTTTTATCTTCGGGACCTGGCATGTAGGCTTGGGGATCCATTGTATAGATATGAAGCCAACTTTGGGTCCAAAAGTATTTTGGGCTATTTGGCTCCCTGTAGGGTAAGGCCGTTTGTCAACGTCTTGTACCAAGAAACGCTGCGCTGAGCATGTTTCAGAATCACGCACCCTACACGAAAACCCAACTTCCTTGCATGCTGACTGGATGCCTCCAAGAGCAAGGGAGGTAAATCCAAAACTCTAAACCCCAAAAAGGGCCACACAGTCCCAAAGCTTCGCTAAGGCGTCCGCAAGGGAAGCAGATCTGTCCAGCAAGCCAAACAAGAGCAGTAGCAGCTTTGAGATTGCCTGTAGCGCCGTTTAGGGTTTAGGGCTTCGGGTAATTTAGGTCGAGTCAAAATGCAACATCACTCTGCAGACTTTAGCTGGTTCCTCATTGAGAAGTGATTAGCACAGCTCAATTGCAAATATGTATGATTGGTCTTAATATGGTCAATGCTTTAAGGTTGACGACATGCAAACTGTTAAGCCCAAATCAACTCCTGATCAGAGCTGAGGTTATTTGAGCTACAATCAATATTTCCCCCGAAGTGAATGGACATGGGTTCCATATTAGCGACCGTATTAGTCACTATACTAAACTGCAAGAGGGACCTCTATGTCCACTGNNTAATATTGACAGTAGCTCATATAAAGTTGCGAAGACAGCTCCAGTAGTGTTCTTCTTACTGCCCCTCAAGGGGAGTCGGGGAGGAAATTTGCGTACTAATCTAGGGGATTATGTGAGGATCCATTCCTCCGCTCCATTTTTAGCCCTGTACTAGAACTGTCGTTAGAGTCCACATACTACGGTGAAGGATGGCCGGCGGCAATTACGCCAATGGCTGCCTTCCAGGAGTCTTGCTATGTTCTCTCATTACGAATTTCCCTGCTACGAATACGCTTACATGTAACTGCTCGTCTCATCATAACTTACTATGACCTGGACCCCAAAAGTCTGTGGAATGATTCGGTTTAGACTCTGGTCATTTGGGTGACTAATTTACCTGCTTGGGGGATCCAGGTACACTTAATATTGGTACCGAGAGCTCGCAAGCTGACGAACTGAGGCCTCGGCCATCTGCTCGGCGACTTCTCCGCTATCTGGACGGAACAACGCACACACCGACACCCGCTTTTGCATTTGGGGTTCCACAAGTAGGAGGCAACAATATCGACCCCAACATACGATTTTCCATAAAAGGCACCTTTTTTTTTGGANNCCCCCCCCCCCCCTCCCTCCCCCCGCTTAGGGTCTGGAACATCAAGCTATGTCTCCAGAATGTCAGGGGGGTAGTCCCTTTTCGCGCCAGTATTCTCCCCTTGCACCCCATGTCAGCTTCAGGTCATTGTGGAGGCAGAGCACCAACAATTACCTTGGATAAGACCTCAGATTCTAGATCCCACATGGTGAATGGGACCTCAGGTAAAAGACGCACGCAGTTGCGTCTGTATGTGCCTCCCTCTCTCTCCCTCTTGTCTCTCTTTCTCGCTCTCCCGCTCTCGCTCTCTCTCTCGCTTCCCCTCTCTCTCTCCCTCTCTCTCTCTTTCTGTGGATATATGTAAATACAAGCATCGTATAGTATACGCATGTCTGAAATTCTGGAAGCCTGAACAAACGGACACCTGACAAGAATAGATATCCCGAAAGCCTCCATGTTTGAATTTCTGGCTTGCCTGATAAATCTCGCGTCCGGTGGAGGGAAGGGCACTCCCTCAAAATAAGCCGGATGGCTGCGTGGAATGATGCATGTCTTGTCAAAGAACCCCCAATTATTTCAAACCAGGAGGGAAATACTCCGGTTGAAGTTTGAGAAACAATTTCTACGCGGGGGAAAACATGCCAAGGGCATTCAACTGTCTGGACATACCTAGACCCGGTGTGCAGCATCCCGTACATGAGCTGTGCTTCCATGCGGACATCTATTTCCCGCGGCTCAAAAGCAAGGCGCCCAAAAGACTATAGAGAGCCCTTACTTGGCTCTTTTGCAGGCCGAGGCTTCGATTGTTTTGTGAAGCCCTCATGTGCGGTTGCGAAGAAGCTCGTAAGGTGAACTTTGATGAATAGTTCAAATGCAAGAAGGACACGGAAACGTACCCAATCGGGTGCTGCGCAGCATTTTTGGGCAAAACGCAGTCTATCCAGCTACAAACTTCCCTTTTTCTGGGAAGATTGAAGGTGTCTCAGCGGTACTCGATGGACGACAGAGTTGCGTCAGGTATATATGGAACAAAAAATTAGGTATCAGAATCCCGGGGTCCACTTCCTCAAGCGCCATTGGGTACCGGAGAGTTGCAGCTACTGTGTGTGCTTTTCATTTCTCATTGTGAACCGAACTCATCCCTACACTACCCTTCCCCAAACTGACATCGAAGCTTGAAGTGGCCGACTACTAAACTTTGCAATGGGAGTGTCATCTGCAAAGGCTTCCAGGGTATAGGGGGAGGCAGCTACTGCTTTACGGCGCAACATTACATTGGGCCAAACTTTGATCCTACACAAGTACTTATCTTCTTAAACATTGGGATCTTTAGAGCGAGAAAGCCTAAACACCTGGCTCCTTGAGTCACTCAAGGAGGATAGGAAGTTCCTCATGGATCAAGGGCGGCGCCGCATTTGCCTGGCAAACGCAGGAGGTGCGGAGCATCAAAATCTAGCCAAGGGCTTCTATGTAGTTCCTGTTTGGGGTTTTGGTATTTGGGAAGGGGTTGCAATATACTACCCAAAAAGAACTACATGCACAGGAGCCTCCAGGTACACCTTTCAGAGTGTAGGGGGCTGAGGCTTCGATTTTATGGTATCAGAATACGGCACGCATCAGGGTGATCCCAACTGCGCCATGTGTGGCATCTGAAAGCAATCGCTTTAAAAGCAAAACCGAGCATTGGCAGCCGATGCAAACGGAAGGTCCTCAGATCCGTAGAAACCTTTGAGCTGAAATGTTCGAGAGTTCAGGGGTAATCGTAACTGTATAAGCCAGCCTCTGGGATGTGAAAGCCACTAACCCAAAAGGTCCAAGTACAAAAGAATCAACTAGATACTTGGGTTTTGAGTAAGAGATGGCAAGAGTGCTTATAGTACTGGCTTTGGGTAAGCATATGCGCTATGGTAGAAACTCCTAGTATCCCTCCTAGTAAGCCCTATAAGAAACTCCCCATACAACCCCCTTTTGAGGAATTAAAGCTATAGCTCATATGGTTCTTAGGTACTTGGACCTTTAGGGCAAGTCGCAGCAAAAGAGGTTCGGCCTCATCCAGTTGACCGGGCCGACCTCATCAGAATCACGGTTTAGAGTTGAGTTTTGGCACCATTTCATTGGGAATTACGATGTGGCAAAGTAGCTGTTGATGATCGTTACCTTCAATTCCTGATCCCACAGACATTCACAAATTGCTGTTTGAAATTGAATTCCACAAGAGCCCCAAATACCAAAACCCGAACCCCCTACTGTCATTACTATTGCCCAATTTCTAATATCTAGTTGGTGGGGGTTACCTGGACCCTCAGGAATTAATCATTCCCCAAGCTGCCGAAAAATGCTGCAATCATTCTGCAGAGTCCTTAAGGTGAGGGGGTTTAGGATGTAGGTGTCAGTGTTTAGGGTTGAGGGTTTAGGATTTAGGGATTAGCATTGGAACTTCTAGGCTGGTCTGCAAACATAAGCGGCATAAACGTGTTCCAGCATTGTCGAGTTTGACGTCTGGATGAGTCACAGGACGAGTGCATCACGATAGAATCTTTACGGCCTATGTGATCTTTGATGACCATCTTCCGGACAGTGTCCCAAAACTCCGATCCCAAACTGTACGTCACCCGCCGCAAGCCCCTAACTGAGGCGTGAATAGAACAGGTTGGGGAGTCTTCGTTAACAATGCAGACGTAGGCGGGAATAATGCAGCGCCTAAATAGTCAGACTAGGGTTTGGCGGTACATGAAGCTATAATTATGAAAGGATCATGTCTGAAATCATTGGCATTTCTCCAGGCTTTTACAGTCATGGGGGTACCCTCAGCACATAAGCCCTACACCTGAAACCCTCAACCCAAATCCTATCAACCCTAAAGTTAGCAGACTCCAAGCTGCATCCCACATGCGTGTGTTAATGACCATAATAAGCGGGCGGGCGGTTTGCATTGCAAGGGTGCGAAACTATCCCTAAGGTTCCAAGTACCTAATGCTCATATACTTCCCCCTAACTTGCACTATAATTCTTAT